TTATGAGCAGCAGGCTGTGTAATATGTGTGAACTCTTTTATTTTTGTTATCACTTGGCAATTTGACTTATAGCAGTGTCCAGTGTTTCCCATACATTGAGTAAATAGATTTTCCAAAAGGCTTATACTTTGTTGAATAAACTGAGCACTGCGCGTTTCAAAATTAAAATGCAGCGCGGGTGTTTTTATATGAATGCATCTTTGAAAAGAACTGACCGTCTTCAGAAAAGCTTCAATGTAATTTTCATTTAGTCTTTCCTGTAATGCCTGATAAAGTAGTGATTGTGAGTGCAGTGCTAATTTGATTACAGCCGTTACCGGGGAAACCGCTATATCTCCCGCTCCAACAGCGCCTCCTGCTGGCAGAGAATGAATTTGCATTTGCAAGTCTGTGGGAAACACTGGTGTCTGTCAGCAAACATAAACAAAAAGCATGCTTCAGAACTGTTTTGAAAAGGTGCTTAAGTTTTGAGCCATGTATTATTACTCTGATTTAGGCTACTACTACTATTACTATCTTGTACCCTGTAATAATCATTTACTCAAACTCACTTTTATGAGATGAAAAAATAAATAAAATCGGCCAAACATATCGGCCAAAAATATCGGCATCATATATCGGCCATCGGCTGCCCTGATTTCTAAATATCGGCATCGGCCAGTGAAAAACCCATATCGGTCGACCTCTAGTCAAAAGATGAGGAGAGGGGATAGATGAGATAAAAGGATATGCAAAGAGGAGAGACAAGGGGGATGAGGAGAGAAGGCGAGAAAAGACGCCGAGACGAGACTTGAGGGGACAAGAGTAGCGCAGAGTCCTTATTCTCCTTCCCCCCCAATGAGCATATCAACTTTCATTTTGTCACCGACAAGACCAAGCAAACAGCATAAACGCACACATCAGCCATCTGCTCCGCTTGCATCTGAAAGCAACTCATTCACATTTCCATTCCACCACCAGAGCAGCGAAAGTGTTTTTATGCTACTAATCGTTATTCAATCAAGCTTACTGGCTTGATCTGCTTATATTCAATTAATTTAATCCACTCTATCCAAAGAGCCATGGCGAAACTGCACGCTGAGAGTGACATATCTGCACTCCAGCAAACTGACCCACTTCACTGCATCCCAGAGAGCTGAGATGTGAATGGGCACAGTCAAGCATGTGTTATGTGGGTGTGCGTTGCAGCCTGTTAAGCTGTGCGAGTGTGTGTAGCGAGGTATGTGTACTGCCCAGGGGGATGTGGGACTCCTGGCCCATTGCCTATGACCCAGATTACAGGAAATTAAGGAGATTTTAGGAGCTCACTCTTCTGGCCTGCTGCACTGCATTATCAGAATCTGCTCCTGCAAATAGAAGCAGCGGGATGGGGCAGTGGACTTGGCAAAGAGATGCACTACCACCGAGTACAACCTCTCTTTCTCTGGAGGAAATGTTTGATGGAGCGAGTTCCGCCTGTGCTATTTATAAGTGTTGGTTAAAGCACATATACGTCAGATGAGTTTTCAAGATGGCTTGTCAAGGTAAAAATAAATGTAGTTCAACTGACTATGTGTCCCCTGTGTTCTGTTCTATTACGTTACATCAGTTGTGCTGTTTTTGAATGCAAGAACGCATCCTGGGTGTAGGCTACATCCCCTCCAAATAGAACACTGAGTGCTGTTCCGGACTGAATACTTCCATGTACAGTCGCAACTTGGATCACAAGGTACCATCTAATATGTAGGGTTGGGTATCGAAAACCGGTTCCATTTTAGAACCGGTTCCAAATTTCAAAGAACCGGGTATTCGATAAGACGCGTGCATTTCGATTCTGCTTAACGATTCCTGCGTTCGCATTTTAATGTGATTAAAAATTATTTAAGTGCAGGAACAGAACGAACTTGCGCCCTGTTTGCGTGCAGCGCACACGAAGCGCAAGCGCGAGCATGGAGAACAGAGGTCGCGGTACGGGTTCCCGGTTTGTGTCCGTTCTCGAACCGTTCCGTGTATTTTCACTGTAGAAAAGGTTGTTCCGGGCCGAAACTGACTTCTTTCATATTTGTCGACCAATATGCAGAAAACTACGTCAGTATATCATCATAAACACAGCCGTTTTTGTCTTACGTGAACGTAAACAGATGAGAAAGAAAACACACATGTACAGTATTTTTAGATCTGCGTGCGTTCGGTGTTAAAGAGACAGCAGCCTAATAAACGCGCTGCCTGTCATTAATGTTAATCAATGAACAAAAGAAAATCATTCACTGATCTTGACTGAATATATTTAATAACTTTAATTTATTAATCTATATTTTATTTATGAAAAGAAAACTATGAAGTGTTTTTAAACTTTTAATTACAGTTTCTGTACCTGAAATTTTGTTCAGTTGTAGGCTATTTATGATATTGCTATTTTTAGCAATTGTCTTTAACACTTTAATATTTGAAATTTATATTAATCTAGTTGTTTTTGCTGTGGTATTTTCTTTTTTTGAAAGCATAGGCAAAATTCCTCTTGCAGTGTTCTGTAGGCTGCTGATCTGAGTAGACTACAATGCCGGCTGTTCTGACACACAGACTGTAATTAGCCTGCGTTTTCATATTTAAAGAATTTGCCACTGACGATTCAAACGCGAGTTTTGAGCAGTGTAGAGTAGCGCTTGTTGTTTG